AACTGCATCCTCCTAATTTTCCAATTTTAACGAATAATTTCTTTTTACATAAGTCATAGGAGTTTAGACAAGAATCAAAAACTGAACTAAAACAAAACTTAAGCATAATTATTGACTTGATGAACATTAATTTTAAGCATAAGTTTTTTCTTTTAACATTTCTGTAAAACACGCTTAATTGGAATTAAATTTTTATTTTTCATTTTATAGCCATTATTGAAGAGCCAACACAATTTTGAGTTAACGACTACGAATGTTCATAGTCTTGTCATTTTGAACCCAATCCAGAAGACAACGGAATTCCAGGAACAAGTATTGGGAAAATTTGCTTTCGCGGAGGTTTTTTTGTTGAAACTAACCTGAATTTAAGTTAAATGAAGGGAAAAATCATGAAAACTTTGCATGATTAGCCTGACGGCAAGGGAACACTAAACCATAATCCGTCTACCACTTGGGACATTTTCAGTCAGCGTTGTGGTCGGTGCGAGCTGAGTGCGGAATTTGTATCAACCAGCCATCGTTGGGATTTGAAACCGGGTCATCATATTGGGAGGACAGGGCTCTATCACCTGAGCCACCCTATTTCCGAATTAAGTATTTTGTTTTATAACCGCCGTTGAGCAGTTGACCCAATTTTTTGAGTTTACGACTTCTAATGTTCAACTACGTAGCCTTGTCATTTTGAACCGAATTCAAAGGACAACGGAGCTCCTGGATCAAGTATTGGAAGAAATTTGTCTTAGTTGGAACTAACCCGCATTTGCGTTGCATGGACTGGAAGACCACGGAAACCCCCCCTCCTATTAGCCTGATGGCAAGGGGACTCTAACCCATGATCCGTCTACCACTGAGGATATTGTGCGTCAGCACTGTGGAAGGTGCAAGCCGGATGCGTATCGACCAGTCATCGCTGGGAATCGAACCCGGTTCACCTCATTGGAAGGCAAACGCTCTATCCCCTGAGCCATCATGGCTTCGAATTAAATAATAAAAAAAAGGACAGAATATACGATCAATTTTAGCTAATTTGCGAAAAATTTCCCCTGATTACTCATCAGCCCAGAGCCTTTCACGCCTTGACCCAGCACTGCCTTTATAACTTCCATTAGTTTAATGCTGATGATAACTGGATCTTTTTTTCCAATTAAAGAACCATACGATGTGATTCTTCGGCTAATAAAATTGCACCGACATAAATGAAAAAGAGTTTCATACTATAATGTTTTTGATATATAGCGATAACTTATTACATAGCGAGAAAAAATGTGAAAAATGTAAATTTTACCTGCACCTAATCCAGATAAACTTGCCACTAAATTCAGGCTATTCTTATGTTCTTCAACTTTCCGCAGTTCGTCAGCAATTTCACGCAAGCACTTTACAGTTTCTAATCGGTAAGCTTTCCAAATGGGAAAGTGACCGAGGAAGTTTCGCCTTTCTTTATGCGTTCTAGTTAATAATTCGATTACTTCATCTTGTTCTTCTGGGCAAATAGCAATGTCATTACTTCCAAGATTTATTTCAGCTATTTTTACAGTTCTGTCAGAATTTCGAGCTATACATTCTTGAACAGCTAGATCAATCTCTTTCATTAAGTCATCTAAACATTGCGAAAAGAAACCTTTGATGCTAAAGAAGTATTTATATTTGTAAATTGTATGCATCAGCTTCATAACCTTCTCGACATGTTTTTTGTTTATTAAATCTTCTCCTTTTACTTGCATCATAGTTAAGTCGTAATTTTGTTCACTAATTTCTATGAATTTTTAGAAGGATTCTAATGGTTTGTAAACATTACGTTTAGACGATTTGCTTGCCTTTTAGGTCCCAACAAAATGAAACTGCCATTTGTGAAGCTGAAATACTCTAAACAATCATTAAAGGCCTTATCTACTTACGGTTAGTTTAGGTACATGTATTTTGTCGATATTTATCTCAGATAAATTGCGCCCACTTCCGCTTTCGCTTTGAGTTTAAGCTCAGTTAAATGTAGAAGAAGAAGAAAGAGTCTTAGTTTCGATCTTTATTTTCACATAGATTAAAACATTTTGAGTTAGGAAAGTATATGGTACTGAAAACTACATTACACGTAGTTCTAAAAAAATTATCGTGAAAATTTAAAAAAAAAATACTTATCACAATTTAATAAGAAAAGTATTACAAAAAGGGAAAATATCGTAGTACATTCCTATACAACTGAAAAGAAAAGGAGAAGGAAAGGGGGAGGGTCAAGGCGTATTCAAGCATTGCAAATATTAACAAAGTAGAATAGGCCGAAAAATTTTACTTTTCACTTTCTAGGTCTGAAAAAGGACCAACCAAGAATTACTGCAGAGAACCAATCGAACTTTTTCGCAAGCAAACGTTGCTATATCAGCTATCAAAATATTTAATGATTATGAAACTTCAGGACGAAGTTGACTGTGAAAAAATAAAATTAAGACTTCTATTGAGGAAAAAAAAAACTTCCCGAACAACCCAATAATTTATTTTTAACAATAGTGATTGTATTTTTGCTTACTATGAAGCTCGCTTGTAAAATAAATTCGTTGAACATTACGTAGTAGCTCACGTGGTCTACGTCACCAAACTTATACTTTGTCTGCTACCACAAGCTTTGATTTTTTTTATATTAATTCCCTTAAAAGCGTTTTTAAAAAATTAATTATCTGTAACCAACGGTAATGAAATAGCAAAAAAATATTTATGTATTCAAAAGCAAAATAAATCCTTATGAAGCTCTAATTTTTTTTCCTTCAAAAATTCAGCTTTGGTTGGCTGCCACTGACAATTATGCATAAACTCAAACATTGAAGAGTTATATAATAAGTATCAAATATACTAATATAGATATTAAATATTATATTGATATATTTGGTGATTATTAAAACTGCACCAATCAGTTCTAATACCTATACTTCGGAATTAACTATTTTATGGCCCCTCGAAAGGGATATGTATCTGAGAAAATCACTTAATAATGTTAAATTTTAATTATCATAAATTAGCCGTGAGCAGTAACATTGTGCCAAGAGATGCTAAATACATTTCATCTTTACTTCAATGATATGATTACAAGCAACGAGCTTTGCTTGCTTCAATGGCGTAAAGCCACCAAAGAATACAGCATATAACATTAAATGAAGAAAATTGAAATTATTTTGGCTATATTAATTAAAAAATTTAGTGGAAGAATCGGGTAAGTGACATTTTTCAGAACGAAAAATTTTTCAGAACGCATGTATCCGAATTATTTTATTACCAATTTATTAGGTGGTGGGACTAATAATTATTTGCTTTATTTACCACTGTTTAATTTAAAATGAAAAATGCAAGCATACTAAAAAATAATATGAATTTGTTATGTTAGGATAAAAGTGAAAGCAAAAACAGTTCTGTTTCATTAAACATATCCATATTGAAGCAACCATTTTATGTTATTTTCTCTAGTTCTATCACCTGGATGTTTCATCAAGCTTTTTAATTGCGTCGATATAGGCTTTTGAGTTTTGATCATGATTGCGTTGTGTTTCTCAGAACTGATTCTTTTCCCTTTTTTATTCACCCCGTGCGAAGAATTGATATTCAGCTAGTACTAAATTATATTACCGAATACTGCTACCATCCATTTTTCTTCCTCTTATTCCAAAGTATATTTTGTGTTCATTTGATTTTTTTGAATGAATATTTCAAATTTAATTAAAGAATAATGCTCCAGTAGCTAAACGTTTATTAATATCTTTTTTCTTTTCTTTACACAATGAGTTTTCTGACGAATTTTATATCATTAGTCATTTTCAAGTGTTCACTTTTAAATGTATTCCTCTTTTTTCTACTTTTTTGAAATCTTTTTTAGAAATAAGTCAATTTTATCAAAATCTCAATTAAATTTGTTAGTTTATAAAACATACGTTATAAAAGTCATTATTTTAGCCATTTTTACTTTCACAATTATCTTACATCAATTATATTCTGAAATTAAATAATAAAACCACACTATATAATTTTAAAATTAAATTTACATTTGAATTGAGAGGAAATTTTAACTTTTAAAAAATGTTTTTTTCCCCTTAAAATATAGCTATATGTCATTTATTTCCAAAAATAAAACTGTAGCTTTATTGAAAAAAATTATAAAAATTTAAAATAAAATTATTGTTTGATATTTTTTGTAATAATTGAGACAATAAGGAAAATTATTTAAAAATATTCAAATTTTTTACTTTCATGAATTTTCTTCCATTTCTTTTTTTCACTGAAATTAAATGGAGAAATACTTGCATTACTTTATTTTTTTAGTATCTGAAATTTTACTTGACAAAACCCGTATTCACTCGTAGAAATAATTTTAGGGAGTGAAACCAGGAAAGCAACTAATATTATAAAAATTGCCAATTATTTTCCATAATGTAAAAATAGTTTTTCGTGGACACATCAAAATCTTTTATAAATATAATAATTAATTAAAGGTACTATGTAGAAAACCAACTAACTTAAAAATTACATAACATTTAAACTTCTAAGCCACTTCTAAGATAATATGCAATATTTAGTAAACACGTACTAAATATTGCATATTATCAAAAGTAAATGTGGGCGAATTATATACTAGAATGAGACGAAAATGCATAACATTTTTAACATGTTTTAAAAGCTGCCTTTAGTAATAATGATCGTAATTTGACTACCACTAATTACTGTTTTGAGAATGCTGCTATCATAAAATTCTTGTGCAAAACAAACCAATTTCATTGCTTGTGTTTTGCTGATAAGAGATAGTGCATTAAGAACATAATAAAAACAAACTAGTAGTTACAAGTGAACGTCATTAGTAAGACTTTTTAAAAAATGAAAAGGCAATTAAGTTTCTGGTCTTAATGAATCAGTCATAGAAAAATCTACATTACTTATTTGTACAGCATGTTTTCACAATGAATATACAAGACCTATTAGATGAAAATTTAAGCACGATTCTTTTCTACATTAGTTAGAATTATTATTATTTTTTTTTTATCATTATGTCATATTAAGTCCACCAAAGAAATTTTTACGATTATCATTATTTTGCTATTATATTACTTCAAACAGGATAAAAATGTAAGAAGTATATACTCTTCTGAAGTTTCAAACGAATAATTTTAAATTAAGTAATTAACACATGTAAAAATACTCACAAGATTGCGATAAGACTTTAACGCCAGTGTTGAAAGAAAATTGCTTCCGATATCACATCGAAAAATTAAGAATAACCAAATTTTAAGTACATTCAAATGTTAAAATATATCAAATATTCAAATGTTAAAATATATAATTAAAATATATCAAATTCAATGCTTTTAATTTTTATACACCCCACAAGCTTATACGAAGCCATTAGGAAATTTTCAAATTTTTTAAGCTTTCTGAATAAAAATTGCACCAACTGTCCAGCTCTGCTCAACATTCATAGTATAGAACACTTTGAATAGACCATATTATAGTTTGCTTTTTAATCACTTACGAATTAATATAAATAATGATGTAACTAAAACCAGCAGACTTGTCTATATTCAAAAATGTAAATAAAGATGTTCAGTTCATTATTTTACAATATTTTGAACATGAAATTTTAATAAGGTAACAATATTTTTTGTCGTAGGTATTAAACTTTAAATATTCTAAAATATAATGGTTTTAACGGAGCTAAAAGTAGCAGATAATTAGTTTTTAATTGTTTTAACATGGCAAATTTATTTACAGACAATTATTTTTATCTTTGCAGAAACATTCTGTCACAGACGAATGATTAAGGAAACGTAATTTTACAAGCATATTTTGAACTAACGACAGTACTTAATATTTATAGTTAGACACAATACGTTTTAACAGAGAAATCAACTACTGCGCGTACGCATTGTCAATAATGAATACAATTCATAATATTTGCTGACTTTATTAAGCACATGAACCTTAAATTAATATTTAAATGATTTGAAAAAGCTGTCAAGATTATTAAGTACACTGAATGCTTCCGCAATATCATCCTCTCATACACATCATGCTTTGAAGTGCTTTATATTACTTTTCTAGATGATTTTTAAATGAAGAAAAAACATAACCTTCGAAATCTAATTTAATGTTTAACATAACTATCATTGAAATTTATTAAGTTAAATAAAAGTGACTAAATTATAAACACTTTTGAAGTTGAAACAACTCATTCTAGTTGTCGACCACGAACAATACAGCGATGTAAGCAATCGTGAAGAAGTTACTACTCAGCAGTTGAAAAAGTTCTTCCAGTTAATTATTCGCGAATCGAATTTACTTCCACTGCGTTTTTCTTGCGTTATTTGGGATAAAATTGATATTTAATGAAAAATTTTAATTTATTGTTTTCTTCCTTAAGTAAATATTTATTTATTAATAATATGAAGAGCTCTTTCCAAAAAAAAAAGTGACTCCAGTCCTTAATTAATGAAATAGATGATAATTTTAAGAGTTTGAATGCTATTTAATGTTATATAAAAGGAGCTGTAATATTAGAAGATAGGATTCAGGAATCTAGCGTTTTCTATCACGGCAGTATTATATTTTATCACTCTAATATTAAAAAATATCGTTTTGCTACCTGAGAAGCTTTAAATATTTTCCTTGTTGATAAATTTAATGATTTAAAGCCATCGTAAATGGGAGATAAAGGAGTTTGCCGAAAAGTTAACTGAAAATTATTATAAACTAAATTAGTGCATAAGAAATTAATTTTGAAAATTACAATTTAGTTAAATAACGATAACGTGAAAGCAAAAAAATATTAAAGCTTAAAAATATAAAATTCCTTTTGTTCACAAAAAATAATTATAAAACAGTAATATCAAAAGTACTTATTTATGGAAATTTC